CTGTTACAAATAAATCTGTATCAAACTACATCTCGTTCAAATTTGATCCATACTGTGTGTTAGATAATTTCTGATATAATACATGTATAATACTTGTGAGGAAGTTAGGAGGAGACTAAATTCCGGAAATGCTTGCTACTTCTCAGTCCAAAATATTTTGTCTTCCCGTCTGATTTCTAAGAACCTGAAAATTAAAGTATACAAAACAATAATATTGCCTGTTGTTTTGTATGGGTGCGAAACATGGTCTCTCACTCAAAGGGAGGAACACAGATTGCAGGTGTTGGAGAATCGGGTGTTGAGGAGGATATTTGGGCCTAAGAGGGAAGACGATGGGGCATGGAGAAAACTGCATAATGATGAGCTTAAAAATCTGTACTGCTCCCCCAGTATTGTCAGGGTGATTAAGTCGAGAAGAATGAGATGGGCGGGACATATAGCGCGCATGAATGGGACAAGAGATGTGCACCGGGTATTGGTTGGGAAGCCTGAGGGGAAGAGACCTCTGGGGAGACCTAGACGTAGATGGGAGGATAATCTCAGGCGGGATCTATCCGAGACATGTGGTACAATTTTTGAATACGTCAGTTTTTCTTTGAATTATATGCTTTCTAAGTATTTTAAATCTAAAGACAAGTTTCAAAAATTTTCATTGAAAGTGTAGCTCAATATTCCTTCGATCATATGGTGGCTAATAACATGATGACTGAATGGTGGATTAAGGAAGATATTGAAGGAAATGTCCCAAATGCCTGTTTTAACGTTGACGTGCTATCAAAGGATTTACATGGAGAATAACAGATGAACCATGGAAAGTCTCAGTTCAGATAAGAGGCTGATAATTGAATTTCTTCATAACTTAATGTATAATCCTAAAAAAGTTATATGGTAAAAACGCTTATAAAGCATTAAACTTATCTCACTGTCATTTTATGTTTTTCTCGTAAAATACTGATAACTGCTCTATATTATTCTTAGCTTATAATGACATGTCGTTAATTCATAAGTTTTCACGTAGGAATGAAAAGTTCTGTTAGGTATAGACACCTACAATTTTGTTTTATAAAAAATATAAACGTAACAGAAGTGCAGAATTTTGAGGTTATGTCTGCAACATTTAGATAATATAAATCTATGTAATTCTATATTAGGTTTTATACATGTAAATAAAATGTTATTCGTATTTTGTTTAGGCATTTTTGTAGTTTTTAAACATTGCCTCTGATAACATTATGTTCATACAGTTAAATGAAATTGTCCATTGGCCTAAACGTTAAGTTAAAAGTGATATGGTTATAATATAAATAAATTTTCTTTCTTTCTTTCTTTCTTTCTTTCTTTCTTTCTTTCTTTCTTTCTTTCTTTCTTTCTTTCTTCGTAGTCATTGTACATTGAGTGAGAAAGTACTCCCCTCTAGAAAACTAATTTTTTTTTT